AAAAAAAAAGCATAATTTAAGCAGAATTAGTATTTTGTAAAGGATTGAAGAGAGTATTATTAATGCTTGTATGTGTTTGTTGTAATAGAATCGAGAAAGCATGAAAGAATAAAAGAATAAAATACAAGTGAAAAGCAATTGAATGGGCCTAGGAAGAAAGTGATCTGGAAGCTATATGATTATGTTGTGAGTGGTGGTAGGAATTCATGATGGTTGGCACTCTGGAGGAAGGCCTTGAGGGAATCTGTTGGTGTCAGTGCAATAGTTGTAAATCATGTAATTCTTCTGCACCCAACTCAGTCTCTCTTGGCTAGTGGAATCCAACTCTTGGGAGAACCATGCATTGGAGGAAGGGCAAGATGATGAACGGACACATGCATTGGCATTGAAATTTCTGTATGATGCCGTGAAAGGAGCTTGTGTCCAATCAGTCTTCACAAGACCACCTCTTGTTGCCCAATCATCAGCGTTCCATAGGCTAGAGTATATCCTCATTGGTTGTTCCTTTGGGAATGCAACTCCCTTTGATTCCATGTTCTTGAATTCTCTTATGGGGGTCCCATCCACAGAGAAGCTGAAACACATGAAATTATGAATGAGTCAACATGGATTGGATTGATTATTACTTTGAATTGTGAAATATATATAACATGGGTGCTTACATTATGCGCTGAGGATTCCAAAGAATGGAATAGGTATGGAAATCTGCAGTTGGGTCGAACCACAGATAGAACTGTTGCTCTCTGTTGCCTTTGCCTTGGCTGAACACATTGGTGTGAAGGATGTATGGCTCACCACTCACATTCCCCAAAAATTCAAAGTCAATCTCATCCCAGTTTGACCCTTTTGATGACAACTGCAATAGTACATAAACCCAAATTCAAATATAAATAAAGAGTTTCAAAGTTTAATTCATTGAGGCATAATGCATTTTAATCTTTAGTACTGAGATGTATAGTATATACTTACATAATAGGCAGTGACGGTGCCTGCAGAGTTTCCGGGTACAAGCTTGAGTTGCATATCAATCTTGCCAAAGAGATATTCGTTCTTGGACTGGAATCCGGAGCCAGAGGCTTTGTCAAGGGAGAGAGTGAGAAGCTCGCCGTTGTTGAGTATCTTGGCACGACCATCTCCCCAAGTTATGTCAAAATCTTGGTAGAAGTTGCCGGCAGAAGCTGCCATGGAAGAGGCCAATAGCAATGCATAAAGCATAGTTATTGTTGAACATGTGGAATGAATAGAAGACATGGTTGATTTGAAATTTCAATGCAGGCAGAGAAAGGTATATGAGTAATTAATGTAATCTGAGAGACTGGATTGTTGTGGCAGAGAAGTAGGATTGG